CAATGGGGAATAAATGTTTGCTTGATTAACAGGTGCTCTCCACTTAACAGATTTTTAATGCAGCTATTAAAAAACACGGGAAGCTGCTGGCACGATTGCATAGATACTTTGCTTGCAAGAATGGATATGTTGGGAAGCGTCCAGTCTGGCTTGGAGGAGGACTCAAGCATAGAGTTAGCCTGGAGCCACTATGCAACTGACAGAAAGACTGACCCTCCCTAGGAGCCTTGGAGTCTTATCTGTTTGTTCCCAAGGGAAGGCTGCTGATCTGGGAAGATTCCTGTATTATAGGCAGAATGAAATAAAGTAGTTAGCTTCAACTTTGCAGATGTGGGTCTAGATGTTTATGCCTAAGCTGGTATTACATAAACCCTCTGCAGTCATTCTTTCTGTGTGAATCTTATCAAGGGGAACCAGAAGCTGGTTGCAAGCTCAACTTCAACTGCTGTTCCATGGCAATGTTCTCATGATATGCCAACCCACGGGTGGTCTAATCTTGAATAAGCCGTCTTTGGTTTGATTGACTTGGCCCAGTGTCTCAAACAAGCAAGCCAGACAGTTTCCTTAAGGCATTATGTGAACCTGATCAACATGTAGATTGTGGTCACCCATCTAGATAGACAGATCCAGGATGTTCACCAAGGCCTTCTAACCCTTCCTGTCACCCACACCACGTAGTTACAATGGAGAAGAAAAGAGATTGTAGAAAGGCACTGAGTCGAGACGCAATCCATAGGAGCTCGGTGCTTTGCTTTCAGACTTTGGAGTCAAAAGGTTTTTTCTGAGATTGCAAGGGCACCCTCTGCTGTTAGGTATCTGCCCCTGCTTCGTACACAGAGAGGATTTGTTTAGCAGAAGGTGTAGAAGCATCAGCAACACACAATGAGAAGCCACTGCAAAACTAACAATGAGACTAGTTCTAGTTCTGGAAATTGGACAGGAAAGGGATGGGAGAAGAATAGAATAGAATAGAATAGAATAGAATAGAATAGAATAGAATAGAATAGAATAGAATAGAATAGAATAGAATAGAATAGAAAATATGGGATGGGACAGAACGGAACAGAACAGAACAGAATAACAGAGTTGGAAGGGACCTTGGAGGTCTTCTAGTCCAACCCCCTGCTCAGGCAGGAAACCCTACACCATTTCAAACAAATTGACTGAAGGATTCACTGAAGTCAACCCTATATTGATTGGATATAGGATGACTTTGCAGGATAGAGACAAACCTTTGGGACAACCATCACCTGGATGACTGAGAATCTCCCGTAGGCATGCAACTGGACTTTTTTTTTGGGGGGGGGGGATGGATTCCCCTCCTTTGAAAATGATTTGCTTCAGTTCTGTTGTTATTTGAACCTTAGCGATAACCGAGCTACAGATAATTTCAAACAGAGTCTTTGGCCTGTTGAAGGAAAAGTTTTCATCATGGTTCAGTCCAAGCTGGGAATAAACAACATGGTGACTGCTTTAGAAAGAAGGTTGCAGTTTATTGAAGAGGAGAGCCAGACAGTAAGATGTCTCTGGAAGAAAAGAGAGAGAGCACATGTAGGGAGTGGGTTTTTATACCCTCTGAAGCCTTTTGTTTGGAGTTGTTCCTGTGGCATGAACTTTGACCTGAGTCTGAGTGTGCCCTTTGGCATCTGTGGGTTAATCCTATTATGTCCTGTCTTAGAGTTTGGGTGGGGTATGTAGATTTTAGGAGTCTGTATTCCTAGACTTCTAGCTGGGGGCCTCCAACCTTCCTGAATGGATTATTTACATCTGCATTTCTGCAGAACTGCTTTCTGCTTGGGGGAGGGAGACTTGGGGCTATTAAGAAAACTGAGCATGCTTTTCTGCCTCTTTAAAGATCCTTTGAGGAAATATATTTTTCTGCCCTTTTAATATTTCCTTCTCTGGGGGGGGGGGGGGCTGACTTCCCACAAGCCTTTACAAAGACGCCAATGGAAACTAGGAGAGATATGCTCCATCTAGAATTTTGCTGTTAAATTGGGAGGGGAGGAATGGAGACCATCTGAATATTGCCTCCTTTTCACCACTTTTCCCACTTGTCTTGCAAGACATGTTGACCTGCACCATTGCAAAACTGGCTCCAAGTCACCTCTGAAGCCCACATAGTCGTTCCAGCTAGTTTGTGGGCGACTTGTGATTTTTATCAGTTGTGCAATAAATAGCTCTGATCAACAGAATGAAAGCAAAGGGTGCAGGTCTGTGCTAAAGAAGTCATCTGGAGTTTCAACCAGCAGAAAGATTAACTTTCATGTCCCAAGGTGACCCCTTTTTAAAGGGGATAATGCATAATATCCCAACGTTCAGTTCAGCCCTGCTTTGCTTCCAACTCCTGGGAATATCTTTTAAATGTTCATTCTTTCTGGTCCTTCTCAAAGGCTGTTGGGCTAACTTTGTAAGGGCCAAAGGCGAGGCTGATCTGCGATGGAGTTGCCGTCCACATCCCATAGGCCTTTGATGCTTAATTAAATCAGCCAGGAGAGGCTGAAGAGATTGAAAGCAAAGTAATTAAAAACGAGAGTTTTTACACAATGCAGTTAAACTGCATCGGAAGCCTTGGACAGTTTGACACTCCAGAAGCATGGATGGAGAACTTAAGGAGAGGTGGTATGTTCAGTTTTCAAATTATCCTAATGGGATGCAGTGGTGTGCTATGTATATGTTTGACTTCTTCATCATGGTGGGATTCTAAGTAAAACAATTCTTTTGGAGGTCCTCTTCTTTCCATGCGTGAATGGCCAACGCCATGTCTGGTCCATCTCATCTGAAGCCCAAGGCATTCTTCAACAGATGGGAAGGTGATTCCATGCCACCCATCTGAAGCAGTCAAATGGATGACAGGGATGACAAGGACATTCCCAGCTGTGGCAGAAAAAGACGGGACAGTTGTAGGCAGAAATTAACGTTGGGGTTTCCTGGTTCTCCCTTTTCACATAATTCTCTGTTGGATTGATCCCACCGGTGCGAGTTTCAGCAGGGGGCAACCTTGTCTGGATTCAAAAGCTCAACAGGATTGACTCTATTTGGGTAGTCCTCAGCTTACAATCTTTCTCTTAGCAACCATTCAAAGTTAAAACAGCACTGGAAAAAAAGTGATTTAAGACCGATCCTTGTACTTATGATTATTGCAATTTCCCCGCGGTCACGTGTTGTCTGTCTGAAATGCTCGCACCCACCATGGCTATCCTTCTGGGGATGGATAAATACTGTAGTTCCATGATGTTAGGCATTTCACCAGGATTTCAAAGTCCCAAAGATATGCCCTGGGCCAAGAAGTGAAGTGACTTTAGCTCCCATCAATCTTAGCTCCAAAATGATGTGTTACACAATGATCGAGAGAGAGAGAGAGAGAGAGAGAGAGAGGAAAGAAGGAGGGAGGGAGGGAGGAAAGAAGGAAGGAAGGAAGGAAGGAAGGAAGGAAGGAAGGAAGGAAGGAAGGAAGGAAGGAAGGAAGGAAGGAAGGGGAATTAAGACAGAAGGGAGGGAGGGAGGAAGGAAATAAATATGGATAAGATGAAACTATTTTCCCCTTAAATTCAGTTTCAAATTCAGTTTAAGGAAAGGAAGTTTGAGCTGCATGGTGCAAGTTTGCCTTCTTAATGTACAGACCGAAGTGTGCCTACTGTGCTTTGGCTTTTTGTTTTGCTTTTTTATATACATACATGCAACATCTCCGTCTCTCTCTCTCTCTGTGTGTGTTTATTATTCCTTCTAACCACATGAATCTCTTCGGGAAATTTGCTTAGCATTTATAGAAATTAGATGTCTCTCTGGAGTATTTTTCATTTCCTCTCGGTTATTTATTTATGTCGTTTCAAACAGAAATCTTGCTGGGTCATTGAATAGAAAACACAGCCCCAGCTGTTCAGCCAGGACCGGCAGCCCAGCAGGGCTGGCCACGGATAGGGCAGATGCTGTTTTGTTCTGATTGATTCAGACTCTTTAAACAAGTTTTAAAAACCCTTTCTCACACCTTGGTAAGTGCCGTCTCCTATTCAGGTCAAAAGAAGCGTCACACGCTTAGCCGCCCTTAGGCAATTCTTTCCGGAAATATGAAATGTAAGTCCCCGACTTACAACAGTTCAAAGCTACAACGGCACTAGAAGAAGTGACTTAGGACTCTTGCAGCATCCCCACGGTCAGGCGATCAAAATTCAGGTGCTCGGCAACTGACTTATGTTTGTGACAGTCGCACCGTCCCAGTTGCACGGGATTTCCCTTTTGCGACCTTCTGACAAGCGAAGCCAATGGGGAATCCAAGTTCAATTAACATCAGGGTTACTAATTTAACAGCTCCAGTGACTGACTTAGCAACTGTGGGTCGGTGCTGTCTCTGGTTGGCTGTGCGACTGATTGGGATCCGGAGGGGTTCGTAGGCTGATTGTAAGTCGATGTGTCTGTGGATGGAATTGCAGTTGATACTCTATTGCACCAAAGGAAGTGGGAAGTCCAGTGCCTCCCCCCCCCCTTTTTTGTCTCTTGCCTCACTTCTCTACTCCCTTTTCCCTTCCCCATCTTTTCCGTTATTTACTTTGTGTTTCGATTGCATCGTATATTATAAACTAATAACACTTTGAAGAAGAAAAAAAGGAATTGGTCGTGGAATGCCAGGCTTCGGTGAACTCACGAGTGTGGCAGGTGGGGGTGTGGCCGATGATTTTAGTGTTGCTCCAATTGATTAGTACCAGAAGGCAGGACAAGAAACAGTGGATAGAAAGTCATCAAGGAGAGAAGCCACCTGGAATTGAAGAGAAACTTCCTAACAGGGAAGACAATTAACCAGTGGAAAAACTTGTCTTCAGAAGTTTTTGGGTGCTCCATCACTATTCTATTCTATTCTATTCTATTCTATTCTATTCTATTCTATTCTATTCTATTCTATTCTATTCTATTCTATTCGATTTGTTTTTTGCACCGACAGAGTGCCCCAATCAGGGCTGGGAGAAACTGCTAGCCAAAACTTTGGAGATTTCTTATTTGTCAAAGCTGGCCTAGTTGACATGAAGAGATCAAGACCTTTTCAACTGTGGAGCATGTCCCACTATTTCCACATCACGAATTCACTTGCTACAGCTCACTCTGTTTATTCCCGATGAGACGGTCCTCCGGGGCTCTCTCTCTTAGTGAAAAATACATCCAGACTATAAATTTTAAGAAGCAGACTGACGACTGCTGTGCTCTCTTGCCACAAAGCATCACTGTCATTTTTGTCCTGTGTTGCTTTCCAGGTCAGCCCCTCAACGTTGTTTGCAAAGCTTTTTTCGGCTTCAGCGGTGAGTCAGGCCCGATGATCTACTGGACACGAGGGGAGAAATTTATCGAAGAGCTGGAAAATCACATTAAAGAAGGTGAAATCAGGTACAGAACTCCCCACCTCATAATTTAGAAAAGCAACTTTTCTTTCCAAAAGTTGGACTGAGCAAGCCTGTTCGTTCTGAATTGCAAATTATTTCCTTGTTTCGAAGCTGATTTGCTTCGAGCGTGCTTTGAACAGTTAATTCTGGTGGCTTTTGAAAGGGGGGGGAGCCACCTAGGCAGAAAGGCGGAACCTATTTGTGTTCCCAAATTATATTCATTTAACTAACAGAGGAAAATATTTACTTGCTCTCCAAAGAAGAAAGTCATAGCTGACTCAGGAATTCTGGGAGTTGAAGTCCATGAGTCATAAAAGAGCCGAGGTTGCCTACCCCTTGTCTAAACTATGTTATCTCTTGATCCTGCGGAATGCAGCCCCTCCCTCCAGGGAATCCAGACGACATTCCATCACACCCTAGACAACTGTCATGTTGGAGGCATCTCAACTCATAGAAGGAAAAGGGGGTATGGGAAGCATGTCAGGAGGGACCCTCCCTAGTTTTCAGGAAAGTCAAAGTAAAGGAGGTGGGAAGTGTTTTCAGACATGCACGTTCTGCTAACTATCATCTTACAATGAAGATCGCGGTTGGTGCTTCTTGTCTGGATTACCTCGAAGGACTGAAAACCATTTTGTAAGTCTCAAAGTGTCCCATAGGTGCTTTTTTCCAAAAGGCAACTGGATTTTCTTGGGGATATTTTTTGGGGGGTGGGGGGGATGTTTCGCTGCTCATCCAAGAAGCTTCTTCAATTCTAACTCAGTGAAACATTTTCAAAGAAAAACAAGGAAGTCCAATTGTCTTTTGGAAAAGCGTGACCTGGGTGATTGAAAATCTCCATAGACAAGTCTCAAAGTCCTTCTCTCGAAGTGCTTTCCTCACGGGAGTGGTTGATGGATATCTTTTGTTCAACGGGAATCCCTGTGATGAATCTTTACTGCTGTGTTCCGAGAGCTTTAGCACTCATCTAATTTGGGCAGTGGGAACGCAAGACGGTGGTAGAAGGCGGCCGTTTCCTTTGGGGTGCACCAACGTTCCACATCTATAGATACATAACTGGAGCCTGGAACATCACGTTGAGGAAGGTTGTTAGAACCAGATCCCTGGAGATGACTGCATCTTTGTGGAGGGATCCCATCTATCTTTGGCCTGCTGAAAAATCCACCAATGTTTTTCTGTTTTCTTTCAGACTCCTCAAAGAGCACCTTGGAGAAAAAATTGTGGAGTTAACCTTAATCTTTGACATTGTGAAAGAAGCAGACCTGGCCAATTACACATGCCATGTCGAAAACAGAAATGGGAAGAAACAGGCGAGCATCATTCTGAGAAAGCGAGGTATATTTTTTTTTTCCTTTTTCCCATTCTCATCTCTGTCAGCGCAGCTATGAGTTCTGAAGAAATGATGGGGGCTATTTTCCCGTCCTGAAAATATAGATGTATTATAGGCCTTCCAGAATGGAATGGGCTAAGAAAGGAAACCGCTCTTGTATATCGGTGAGATGTAGTGATTCTGTTAGTGTCCTATACCCAGTTTTCAAGAATTTGGAGCTACAGTTTCTGTTCTTGCTGATCATTTGCAATGGTAGTTGAGGGTGCCGTGAGAAATTTTTCAAGCAAGATATGAAAATGGTGCCGAAGGTTCCTCTGCAGGCCCATAAAGACACAGGGACAAAAAAAATGTGGGCCCTTGTTTGTTTCTATTGAAAGGACAAAGTGGGCACCCGAAGTCTTGCATGTGCCTAAGGCACTCCTTGGTTGATGTCGGACAAGAGGCAGACCCTGGAGACAGAGTCAAGAGAGGACTAAGCCTAGAATCATTACATCCTCACCTGAGGGTAGGACAAGAAGCAATGGATGGAAACTAATCAAAGAGAGAGGCAACCTAGAACTAAGGAGAAACTTCCTGACAGTGAATGGTTCATCCACTTACACATGCATTTTGAAAAGACTAAGAATTTTATTTTTTTTTTATTTTAATTGGATGATGTTGATTGATTAATGTTGACTAGCTGGACCAAATAGTTGCTTCTGAAGGCTTACTCGGGACAGGAGCTTCCTCATCCTTTTTTGCTACTTTAGTTGTCAAGTTCAGTCAATTTTGAATGAATTCACACAATATCCTAAGCCATAAAGTAGTTTGTTTTAGCATAATGGACGGGTTGCTGTTTGCCCACAATCAAGTATTGGAAGCTGGAGGTTGGTTATAAGATGGGTGGCTTTATAAATGTATCAATAAATAAAATAAATTAGAGAGTCTTTTACAACCTACTGTTAAACCATGGCTGAATGCAATATGCAAAGCGGATCACCAAAGAGAAATGGGGGGGGGGTTGTTCCCAATGTTTCCAAATTAATCCTTTCTGTTAAACTCAAGGGTTGGATATGTTACTTCCCACCACAGATTTTTTTTTTCTTAGTATCTTTTACAGGCTTTTGTTACTGTTTTTTTTTTTCCCTTCAACCAGCCTGGTCAATTTATAAAAATGATTTTTCTGCCTCTTCCATGCTGTCTGAACATGCTTTCTTTCTCGGGGAACACGCTGAGTGCCAAATCACAGTCTCCTTTTTAGGTTTTTAGGTTTTGTTCAATCCATACGAGGAAATTGGTTTGGCTGTTGGTAGACGGGAAAGTAAGAAGGAGTGCTTGGAATTAACGACACCTTAGCATGCAAACACATGTCCTGGATTGAGCCCAGGAATTGCACGAAAAGTAATTTATGAAGGGAAAATTTACACAGAGAAACTGTGGCAGGGTGCAAAGGGATATTTAACTCTTTCCCTCGTCAACTCTTCACCAAGCTAATTCTCTTCCATCCTCTGCACGTTCCAGACTTAGATGTATAGCAAACCTCTTAAGGACGCTTTGCCTCTAATGCAGAACAGAGGGGAGAGAAAGGCAGTGTGGTGAAAAGCAACAAAAGATTAATCAACAGAACCTCTTAGAAGAAGAATTATTGACATTCGTTTCAAGAATTTTCTGCTCCTGACCAACCAGACCTTGCAGCTTGAAAAGACCGATGACCTGAGGGATCCTTCAACACTTTTGGTGGAGAATTCAGGGTTTGTTTCATGAAAACAAATGGGTGGGAAAGGAGGCACCACCTTACAAATCCTAAACATTGGAGGCTCAACACAATGTCTGTTGTGCACTGTAAAATATCGGAAGTATTGGTGGCTTACAAATCTTGTTTGCCTACGCCTGCGGTAGATGCAGGGACTTCAGCCAATTCCTAGGCAGTGATTAGAGAGAACCACTGGGCTGGACAAAGAGACACACATTCTGAATCAGTGGTCAATTTGTCAGCAAAGATGGCTGATACACCTCCAAAGAGCAGGAGGTTAAAGTCATATCTGCTGGAAGCACATTCCATATCTTAACCATGGCTTGTCTGACATCATCCAGGGATTCCAAGGAGCTTTAGATCAGAAAAATAGGCACCAGGTTGAATCTCGTTCTAGCTGAATCTCTTTCTTCTAAACACCCCCTTGGTTGACCTGAAGGTGCACCTTATTCCATGACATTTGGAAGGAAATAAGCCAGTGAATTCCAGCCATAAGTTGTAGGACCCCAAAAGCTTTCAAGAAGAAAAGTTGACTGTGAACCTCAACAGCTGCCTGCCTGTGTAAAGTTCAAAGTGATGCTGATGATATATAAACCCATCATGCCATCCAAGTTTGAGAAGCGTTATATTTCCCTTTTTATTCTTGATAGTGCCTGAGTTTTATGCCTTTCACATTGCTTATTTATCATGGCAATAAATATCTGTGCTGGGATGGAGTATAAATTAAGGCATTTTTTCGATGTCTCGTAGTTTTCTTGTGATTTTTTTAATGGGGAGGGGGATGAATTGGGAAGCAAGGTTAAGAGCACCCTGGTTATGATACTGGCTCTCAAACAATATGTTAATGAGTGTGTCCCATTGGCATCGGTTATGGTTATCATGAATCATATTGGCAATTGGGTGCTGGAAGCAAGAAATCGGCTAAATTGGGAGAATGGGATTGAGAACATTTTCATAATCCCCTTTTCTGCTCCCCTGGGGAGTTTTGAAAAGCATTTCATGACACCATTCCCATTGGTTCCACTCTACTATTGGCAATTTTTCAAAGGAACTCAAAAGAGCGTGAAAATAATTTGGGTGGGGTGGCGAGAGAGACTCCAGAAGACCTGAAGAAGCTTCTTGGATAAGATGGGAAATATTCTGAAAGGGAAAAACCAAGAAAGTTCAGTTGCTCCATGGAAAAAAACGCACCTTTGGGACAACCATGATTTGGATGATTGAGAATCTCCGTAGATTTTCTTTTGAGTCAAGTTTGACTCTTGGTAACTTTGTGGATATATTCATGGACTTCGTGTTGGAACAGTTGGCTACTGTCTTCTTCTGAGGTTTTCTTTTCAGTTTCTCAAATTTGGAATTCCCTGGTACTCTGATCCAAATCTCAACCATGCCTAATCTTAACTTCTGAGTCCAGAAAAGATCAGTTAAGTCTATTTTCTAACTTATTTCTTGTTTTATTCTAGATCTGATCTCCAGAATTGAACTTGCTGGAGGTTTGGGAGCTATATTTCTCTTATTGGTTATACTTGTAACCATCTATAAGTGCTACAATATAGAGCTGATGCTATGCTACAGACAGATGTTTGGAGGCGATGAAACCATGGATGGTGAGTAGATTTCTAAATAGCTAATACAAATACATCAAATGTCCATAATATGGATCAGCTGCTGAAAGCATAATCTGAAATAAGAGAAACTGCTAGCCCAGTTCTCCCAAGGAGAAAAGAAACGTTGCACCTTTCCCAAATCTCATCATTCACAGCCAGATGTCCCTCACGCAAATTAAGGGAATTGCCATAATTCAAAGAGCGTGAAAGAACAAGCCAGATACCAATTGGCTCTTTAATCTTTCTGAAGTCTTTGGTGCTGTCTGAGCTTGGTGGTTTTCTTGCAGATATTTTGTTGCCCATCTAGGTAACATCTGTGCTACTGAATATGGACTTTGTTCCCTATTTAAGTTCAAGACATATCACCTCCAGCAGCCAATATCCAGGGAAGCAAGGATTAACACAAGACAAACTATCAAGCTGAGAACAATAGCCTAATCGAGTAACTACTAAGAAGGAAATCATACCACCAGTAATATTGGTATAGCCAGCTACTGTATATAAACAGGGAGCAAATCCCATACTCCATTCTACACTGCTGATGTTACCTAGTTGGATAATGAAATGTCTGGAAGGGGTATATTAGGTTAGACGTTTATAGCTTTAGTCTGGCAAGATTCTGTCCATTAGGCATAAGCAAATAAAGAACTGGACTTGAGTGGATTTCATTGTGTAGTTCTTTGGGCTTGGGCCTGACTTCTTGAGCCACCCAAGCAAAAGAAAAAAAGGGAGGGGGGATTTTAATGTTCTAGTGAACATTTTGCAGACAGAATTCTACTTCATCGTTCCTAAATTTTATTTATATCCACCCTTTTTTTAATGGTGCAGTTCAAGAATAATACATATTGGGATTCTTGAGTGGGTTGTCCGCCAATTACTAGTGTATACCAACCCCCCCCTTTTTTTTTAGCAAAGTGGCTGAATTATATACCTAGACTACTCAGGTGTATCCCTGGTTTTGCCTCCCAGATATTCTATAAATCAGTGTTTAAGAAACACGGCTTCTACCCAGAATTATCAATTACACTTGTTGGGCCATGAAGCCATTCGGGAATGCACACATGCATAAAGTGCTTTAATTGTGGAGAGATCCTCTCTTCTCTTCCCAAGAACTGTGGTTTTATTTGCAGACAACAAAGAATATGATGCCTATCTATCATATACAAAAGTTGATCCCGAGACATTAGATCGTGACAACCGGGAAGAAGAACAATTTGTCCTTGAAATCTTGCCAGATGTTCTGGAGAAGCAATATGGATATAAGCTCTTCATTCCAGACCGGGACCTGATCCCTACTGGGAGTAAGTACTGATCCACTTAAAGTTGGAGGAAACTTCCTGATGCTGCTAAGAAAATGCATCCTTCTTAAGTGTCTCCCATCCTTTCCTCCCCCTCCCCCATTTATACTTCACAAAACCAATAAGGAACTGAGAACACTAAACAGTCCGTTTAAACTCAGAGACCCAGAAGAGCCATTTTGTGAAGAAGGGCATTCAGGAAAAGACAGGGATTGGATTCACACAGCATCCTGAACTCTGTTTGTTTGGGGTTCAGGTGGAACTCTGTCACCGTAGGATGTCGATTGTAATTTGTGTCTCCTTTGGCTGTCAGGCCAGTCACCATCAGCAATGCAATGTAGGAATGACCTTGGGGAAAGGAGAGAAGAGATGCTGCTTAGGAAACCATTAGAGAAGAGAGGCAGGAACCCTCAATGGCTAAACAGGAAGAAACTTAGGAAGGACCAGCCTTAATTGATCAGATGGTTAAAAATGGTGATGGGAAGTTTGTACTTTAAGGATGGTTAAGATCACTGCCAACTCTCCCAAGTGAACCAGACAGGAAGGACAACCAGATGAGCTAGATCTACTTTACTGTAAGTCTACATTAACAGAATCTTGCAAGTTTTAAAGAACAAATCCCTGGTCAGTTAGGGTGGGTCCTTCCTAAGTTTCTGCAGGCGATGAGCAAGTTGAGCTGGAAGGCGGGGTTAAATGTGTCATCAGTTTGGAATCATTGTGCAGTCACAAGAGATCCAAGTCCAGATGCCCTGCCCCTTGAATTCTATTAACCCAGAGGTCCCCAGCCTTTTGGGCATCAGAGACCAGTTACATGGAGAGAGGTTTTTCTGCAGACCGAGGGGGCTTGGTTTTGTGTGCTGCCTGCATCCTGCAGATGGGGCTTTGCTTGTTTGTGCGGACCAGTTGCTGGCATGCCCTGGCCTAGTACTGGTCCATAGACCGGGGGTTGGGGACCCCTGTGTTAACCCTTATCTAGTGCCTATTTAGCTTTGACCATTTGTTGACCAGATTCTTGCCTATCGGAGCAATAATAAACCCTTTTCTGTTTTGAACTTAGTATGTGCTCCTGGTTATTTGCACCCGACAGTTTGTTCCTCTCACCATTTAGTCACTGGAGGCAACCGGCCTCTCTTCTCTGATTGTTTCCTAGGTAGCATCTTTTCCCTTCATTTCCCAAGGTCATTCCTACATTGCAATAAATACCCTGTCGCTCAGGCCAACCCACTTCATGGGATTGTTGTCATGGACAAAATAGGAGGCCCTGAGTAGCCCAAATGGGCAGAAGTCTCCTGCTCAAGGCTCCAAATAAGCAGACATAAGAAAGTCACTTTCTATTAAGTCTTGAAAAATATACATACAGTAGGATACAATTTTGGGTATATTTTTTGCCTTTTTAATTTTTTCAAAAATCATATTGTTGGTTCATCTATACTAGGACTCGTCTTCCTGCTTGCAAATACTCAGATGTTCCAACAAATTGATATAAAGAAATGTTGAGAATGTGGATAGTAAAATATCTCTGTTGCAAAAAAAAAAAAAATGAAGTTTCCTCTTAGCATCTTAAGGATGCAAGCACATGACTCTAACCATAGCATCACTAGGTTCATGGCTTGCTTAAGCCTGTTTTATTAATTGGCTAGATTCACACATTGAACCAACCCCTAGAGCACATTTACAACCCCTACTAGGGCAAAAGACTAAGCCAAACCCAGCAAGTCACATTCTGGATTTGCCCGACATGTGAAACACACACTGCTTGATTGCAAACACACAGGGCCAGATCCGTCTGTTAATATTTTCACTGGGAAGATTGTGCTGTAGTTCCACATGTAGTCATCATCAAATCAAAATGAAAGCAAATAATCAGGTACAACTACACACCACATACAGCTGTTAGGAGCTGTGTGGGGAGGGTGGTTTAATTTCGTGCACAGCTGCTGTTGCTCCGAGCTTGGTTTCAAAAGAAGGGAGCAGAATCAAAGTCTTTTAAAGTCCATACAGGAAGAGGGAAGAGAACAAATGGCTTTAGATGAATCAGCTTCCTCACAGGTGCTTCCAAAGTCAGGATTGTGTTTTCTTTCTCTGCCCATCTGCCACTCAGACATGCCAGCAAAAACCTTCATCATCGTAATTTCAGAGAGTCATTAAGATTATCAAAATAATGTGCAGTGCTACCTGGCACATTGGCTTTTATATATATATTTTTTCTGAGGTTTTCGTGGGTGTTTGTATGAAGGTCTTTGGTTATTCGAGTTTTCTCCTGCGTCCAATTTTACGCGGAAGAAAACTCGAATAACCAAAGACATACATACATACATACATACATACATACATACATACATACATACATATCGCAGCACAGCATAATGCTGTCTCCATTCTTCCTTCCTTCCTTTCTTTCCTGCCTTGCAAAACTGAAATGATTCAGATCTTTTGAACAGATTTGATGCTTTCATGCAGAAGATTAAGGAATGCTTAATCACCCACTAACGATGATGGTGCAGAATATAAATGGGAACTGGTTTCGTTCAAAGTCGGCTTGGGCTTTGCAACCCTCAGAAGCCTAAGGACCTGGCATGGACAACCAACCTGGAATGCTTCTGAGATGCTCACTCCATTGTTCCACATTAAAGGCATCTTTGATCGGCTGTAACCTGGAGCAATTAAACAAAATATTTTGCTATGCTTACTAGGCTGTTCTTAGCGGCCCCAGGAGATTGTTATTACCAGAGGAGAAGAGTGAAGAACTTAGGAACTGCCTAGACCTAGGATGAGAGTATTAGGCTAGTATTTTGCATGGTTTATTGGCAGGGTGATGTCTTGGGCTCACAAACTTAAGGCAAAAATTTCACATGGGTAGGCTGTAGAATTGGTTATTTTTTGAGATATTCTGGATGGCAGGTTTCTCGGCCGTTTTGGAACCAGGCGATGTGACTCTAGGGAACAAGATGTCTGTACTCCAGTTAGGAGTCTTCTCCATCTGTAACCTCCACAACAGAACTGTGTGTCTTCTCTGTGTGTCTGTGTGTGTCTATGTGTATGTGTGTTTATCGAAGTTTCAAGTTCTGGTCCATGATTTTCTTTTTTGGGCCAACCCACACAACCAAAATGTACATGGGATGAGTTCCATCTGGAACAACCCCTACAATATGCTCTTTCTTCTGCAGGCTCTTCTTCCAACTGGTGCCCCTATCTTCCAATGGAAGGAGAGTTGAAAGAAGTAAGTAGAGTAGGACTTTGGCTAGGTTATCCCACCTGGCGTTCCACAGCGCTCAGCTGTCGAGCAAAATCTGTGCCTCCAAATCATGTTGTTGTGTGTCTACAGTGATGTGTGTTCCTGGGAATCACAAGACCATTCAACCAAAACTCTGCAGTCAATAAAATAGCAGAAACCAAGACATGTCTGCCATTTGCATAATTTATGTGGGGAGAAACACTCATTTGGCAATATATAAACCCCTAAACTAGGCTTTCCCCAAATTGGTGGACCTCCAGATATGTTGGACTGCAAATTCCAGCAGCTTCCATCTGACCGTAACACGGTTCACACAACACGCTGAGCCAAACTTCACAATATGACTGTGAATGGCATGTGAGGTTAAGTCAACGTCTTCTACAGGGGAGGGGGAAGAATAAGTTAATTTTTGCAGGGGACCCATTTGGAAAGGGGAATATGATCAAGGGATGGTAGACCTGTTCATAGCTGATGTGGAAACATCTAGAGTCCTAACCAGGTCAAGATGATCCAATCTGCTGGCCATGCAGATGACTTTGTGATGATGGAAAGGCCACGATTAGACCCAGGGTTCCTCCAACTCTTAGGAGCTCCTGTCAAGAAAAAGCTGTTCCCAAGTTCTCCACTTATAGGCTTGATGGCTCCTGAAATTAGAATTAGCCATTAGAGCTCCTTCAAAGGAGTGATCAAGCACAGTATAAACAAGGGAGCTGGAGTTATCTTGACCATTCAAACTGTTGGCGGCACAGTTTAAGAAGGATTAATCCATTCCCTTCTCTGCCCCCATTTTGATTGCAAAGTTTTACCTTTCTTTTTTCTCTCCTGTGTGTACTTCTCTATTTTACTCTCCCTCTTATGATTTGCAGCCTATCTAGACGATCTCGCCCGATGTGTAGAACAAAGCCGCCGGCTCCTGATTGTCCTGACGCCGGATTATGTACTCAGACGAGGGTGGAGTATTTTTGAAATGGAAAACAGACTCCATAACATGCTCCTGAGCGGAGAAATCAAAGTCATCTTCATCGAATGCCCCCAGCTGAAAGGGAAAGTCAACTACCAAGAAGTGGAATCTTTAAAGCACAGCATCAAACTCTTCTCGGTCATCCCATGGAAAGGACCCCAGTGTAACAAACTGAATTCTAAATTCTGGAAACATTTGCTCTACGAGATGCCGGTAAAGAAGAAAGAAGTTCTCTCACGGCGCCAAGTCCTGGATTCTGCAGAACAGGGTCTCTTTGGGGATTTGCAAACAGTGCCTTCCATTGCAGTGACGGATACTTCTGCTACTTTAGTTTCCTCTCAGGCAGATTTGGGAGACTACCAGCTCACCAATACAGCACAGATGAGACATTACTGTAGAGGTTACGAATACAACATGCAGTCCGCCACCTTGCCACTCACTGCCCTAAGCAGCAACCACCACACTTACTGTAATCTACCGCTGACGCTTCTCAACGGGCAGTTACCACTGAACAGCAGCGTGAAGGATGTCCAAGATTTCCATAGAAACCCTTCTTTACTCCCCTTGTCAACGAGGGAACTCAGTTTCACCAGCGACATATGGTAGCAAAGATCTAGACTGCTTTAGGCCAGCTTTGCAATGAGCCAGAATTCCTTAAAAACAAAACAAAACAAAACAAAAAAACTTTAAAACCCACGTCATCAGGTGCCAAACACTTTTTGCCAAGTCACAAAGTAACTCGCTTTTTATACTTGAACCTCTCTTTGTTTACATTTACAAAATTATTAACAAGGGGGAAGCCTACTTTTTTAGCCAGCTTCTAAGTTTCCTGTCTTTTAATGTACAGAGTTATTTGTTCTTTATTAGAAAGAAAGAGAGAAAGAAAGAAAGAAAGAAAGAAAGAAAGAAAGAAAGAGAAAGAAGGAAAGAGAAAGAAAGAAAGAAAGAAAGAAAGAAAGAAAAAAAGAAAGAGAGAGAGAGAGAGAGAGAGAAAGAAAGAAAGAAAGAAAGAAAAAGAAGGAAAGAGAAAGAAAGAAAGAAAGAAAGAAAGAAAGAAAGAAAGAAAGAAAGAAAGAAAGAAAAAAGAAAGAGAGAGAGAGAGAGAGAAAGAAAGAAAGAAAGAAAGAAAGAAAGAAAGAAAGAAAGAAAGAAAGAAAGAAAGAAAGAAAGAAAGAAAGAAAGAAAGAGAATATGGGATTGAATAGTATTTTGAAGTAGGGTTTAAAGGTTGACGATGAGTTGACTTCCAATGCTATATACAATAGAGTAAGACTCCATATTTATATATATATATATACACATATATATTAGTACTTCAGAAGTTTAAATGGATTTTTTTAAAATAGAAAGAACTTAGGAAACATACCCATCATACATGTGAAACATAAGTAGTGACAACAATAAGTCTCGCATTTCTGTGCTAAAGGACCATCCCCATCAAGGATGCACTGTAGAAGATCTTTCCTACAAGATTAACCAACACCCTGTTGTTATGGAAAATGGACCGCACAAAGGCGAGATGGTAACCTGAGGTTTTCCTTCTGCAATTCCAGTGGCTGGAAAACATGTCATCCAAATCAACATGATTTGCTGTTTTGTTCTCAAACTTAATTCTTAACAGTGCGTGACGGTTGCCATTATGTTTTCTTCAGTTCGTAGAAAGTTGAGCGCCCTTTACTTTTCTGTAAATTTTTGGAAAACATGAATTAATTTTGGCTTTTCAGGTGTCTTAAGAACTTCTTCCCTGTTACATTTGACGTGCTGAGGATCGCGGTGTGGTGCACGGTTTGCAGATCTGAACACTTCCTAAACATCTCGACCTATGTACTAAAGAGTCATATAGAATCTGCACAAGGGTTGTTATTATTTGGTTAGTTTTTTTTCCCCTCCAGGTAAAAGGGTGTTACAGTTTACGAGATTGACATCTGATAGAAAAATGTCAGCCTAGAAAAGAGAAAAAAGAACAACAACAACAAAAAGCACAGCAATATTCACAAACAAAAGGGATAAATTGTTTTGGTTACCAGTCATGGTAACATTTGCACTGATAATCACCTAAAACAGCAGTGAGCATTTACACTAATAAAAAGGTTACTCCAGAGTGTATCCCAATGTGTTCTTTACAAGTGAACAACTTCAGTCAGTTCTTAACATTCCTGGGAAATCAAAACTGCTCTTCAATTATCATTCCAACCCATAATACTTTTATTATCTTAGAAACAGGTCCTTGAAAAACCACCCGGTTGCTCAACATCTGTATTACTTCTTTAATGTAAGATATTAGAACTTTAAGATGTGTGGACTTCAATTCCCAGAACTCCACAGCCAGCCTAGCTGGAAATTGAAGTCCACACATCTTAAAGTTGTCGAGCTTGAAAAACCCTGACTTAGACAAAAAATGGCCTCTGCAACACAACATTTTTCAGAATATATTTTTCTGGAGATATTTGTGAGTGGTGATATTTGCCTTTTGGGAGCCCCTCCCCTCACAGTGGGTCCCTGTTGCAAGATTTTCTTTGAACATGCCTCTTAAATGGTTGGGGCTGAAGGGTGCCAAACAACAGCTGGCCAGGAGACTTGTATTCCCAACTGCCAAAACATAGCAAAGGAGAGAAAAGCAAATTAAGAAATGATAATCTGATTTATGCGTGTAATATCACAGCCACAAGGGTCTCTTCCTCTCTTCTCCCACCCCCAATGACTGATTTTGGGGATCTGTAGTAACTCCAGATGTTGCTAAACACCCTTCTCCATTTCCATTCTGTCTGAAAACTTAAGTCTAGCAATGCTCAGATAATCACAGGTTCTCCTTCTCTATTATAAGGTATTTCCTTCTGCTTGTGGGACTCTGTAGGGAAGGTTAGGCCATCCGCTGATTGGGTTCTACCAGGGTCTATTCCATTTGTGAGGTTTGATGTTGTTGTTTTTTAAATTGACTTTAACCTTCTTCCTCTTAAATTTATTCCTGTTAATCAGCCACCTACTATATTTTAATTGCCTGGTGCCTCTAGGTATCAGAGAAACAGAGTGTGGGGGTCCAAGATAAACTATAAAGAAGAACTCTTAGAAAAATGGATTGTGTGTTGGGGCAGATGCAACCAGAAGAAAGAAATTCAAAAACTCCCAAACAGCCTCATTACATCGGTTCCTTTGCTAAACCATTATGTTCTCCTTAGCAATGTTATAGCTTCTACAGCAATTGAAAGAGGCCATGGCCAAGCCATATATGTTGTATTCTTGCTGTTGGAAAAAAAATAAATATTGAACGCGTAGGGCTTTTGAATCTTTTATAAAATGATAAAGAAAACATGATGAAAGGCAGTTGGGTAAAACATGAATGGGAAGACAGAGAAGCTGACTTTCAGTTGTTGCGTTCCCGCCAGTGAATGAAAAATGTTGATTTAATCCTCCCTCTCCTTTGAGTTGGTAGATAAGCTGACTATTAACCTAAAGCTAACATTTGAGGGTTTATGTGTATAGAGGTGTGTACGGGTAATTCTTGACTTACAACAGTTTGTTTAGGGACCATTTGAAGTTACAACGGCACAGAAAATAGTGGCTTATGGCCGTCGTTCACACTTACGACAGTTGCAGCACCTCCCCCCCAAGGTCACGTGATCAAAATTTAGATGCTTGGCAACTGGCATGTACTTAGGACGGTTTTAGTGTCCTCGGGCCTTGTTATCCCTTTTTGTGACCTTCTGACAAGCAAAATCAATGGGGGAAACCAGATTTGTTTAGCAACCGTGTTACTCAATAATTGCAGCAATTCACTTAACAACTGTGGCAAGAAAGATAAAGTGGGCAAAGCTCGCTTAACAAATGTCTCCCTCAACATCAGCAATTTTGGGCTCCCTTGCGGTCGTAAGCCAAGGACTATCTATTCAGAATGATTTCGATGAATGGAAAATTCAGTTTTCACCAAAGTCAAGGATTTGACCCGGAAAGAAAAAGTCAAAAATTCTTCCTGGTGAGCACGTCCGAATGGGGTCGAGAGGTTTTTGTTTTGTTTTGTTCAAGCCACGTGTCTAAAGATGGAGGAAACCTGGGCAGGTCTGGCCACAGGTGTCTACGGTCTACCTGGAAGGGGGAAAACAATCTACTTGCAAGGAAGGAAACTTCCCATTTTTGGATGGTGAAACTAGCTAGGAAGAAGCCAGGTGGGACTTGAAATGTGACTTAAAGTTCCTTCATCTCTTTGACTCCATTGTTGTCTTAACGGTTTGTTTGCTCCTTTCCTTAAATCCTCCTGTGTTCCAGGTAAGAAACTCTTCAGTGTAACACTAACTTCATGATTTTATTGGAGGTTCAAGATTTCGTGCTATGGGTGAGTCACAGAAAAGGACTGGCTAAGGGTGATCCAGCAGAAGAGAAGAGGGGGAATGTGTCATGGGCAACCTATAAGATGAGTTTGGGAAAGAGGGTTGTGTTGTAGCATTCTTAACCATTTTTTTTTTCTTCTCGCTCTTGGGAAGATGGAGAAAACTATATCCACTCTATGATTGACGGTGTTTTTCATGAGACAATGAGATGCTTAACAGAATAACAGAATTGGAAGGGACCTGGGAGGTCTTGTTGTTCCTGAGGTTGGAAAAACGGCTTTCATTGTTCTGGTGTACATTGAACATCTTCTTACAATGATCCAGAAGAATCTGCTGGAACAGATCTTTTTTATTTATTGTCTGTCTCTCTCTCTGTCTCTCTCTCTGTCTCTCTCTCTCTCTCTCTCTCTCTCTCTCTCTCTCTCTCTCTCTCTCTCTCTCTCTCTCTCTCACACACACACACACACACACACACACACACATTTTCCTGGAAGTTGCACAATGTCTGATGCCTGCTAGATGTCCTCCTGGGAACATTGCTGCAATTGGACAAGATTTTAAGATGAAGAGTTTAAAACCTCTTTGACCAGCTGAAACGATTACATGCAGTAGGGTACTTGGCTGGCTGCATTGATGTAACATGGGGCCTCCTGGGTCTTCAAGAGCCCCGGTGGCTGAGTGATTAAAGTGCAGCATTGAAAGCAAACTCTGCCCAGAGCCTGCAGTTCAATCCTGACAGGACTCAAGGTTGATGCAGCCTTCCGTTCTTCTAAGATGGATAAAATGAAGAGCCAAATCGTTGGGCCCAATCTGCAAAGAATGCTTCGGCCTTGTTAAACCACCCAGAGAATGCTATAAAGTGGTATACAAGCCTAAAGGTGGGGTGGTATATAAGCCTAGATTATAATGAATTAATTAATCCAAATAGAATAGAGCTGGAAGGGACTTTGGAGGTCTTCTAATCCAGCCCCCTGCTTGAGCAGGAGACCATTTCAGACAAGTGGATGTCCAGTCTCTTCTTTAAAATGTTAAATGTTACTGCTATGAAATTGCATCCTCTTCTATCCTTCGGTTTGGCTTGGCCATGCTTTCTGGGGCTACTTCTCTGATGCTCTTGAGTCCACCGTCTAACATTGTTAGGGAACAAGACTGGGAGTTGAACCTTTGCTTCACTGAGCTAGCCTGAGCAGCTGCGTTTCTCCCCAAGGCCGTGTCCTTGCCTGTCCTTCTGGCTTTCTGGTAGCTGTGCAGGCGTGGAAACCTTGCCCAGCTAGAAGAGTTGCCAGGCAAGAGCCTTCGAGCAATGCTCAAACTATGGAGATTCTCTGCCTTTGGAGCAGGGGGAATCCAGGTTGCTTGGCAAATAAACCCAGGGATTATCAAAAACATCGGCCCGAGTTCTCGCTCCAGGAACAAAGGAGCAGAGAGAGAACTCTTCGTTGTTCTCACGGTCAGGAGAAACTTCCTGACCATGAGAGCAATTACAGGCAGGAACTCCTTGACGTACGACCAAAATGGAGCCCAGTCTTGTTGCTAAGGCTGTTGTTGAACTTT